ACCAAATGTAGATGTGTAGAATTGGTGCATTGGATGGATATCAGAGCAGCCATACCTGCCCACAGCTCATCTGTTTGTATGATATCAATCAATTGTATACAGAGATAGTAACCCTCTGTATATCATCATATGTTGTCAGCAATGCTGATTTTTAAACCACACCAATCCCCGAAGTTGATCACTGTGTAGTTGAATTTGAGCTCTTGGCCTAAGGTTTTTATAGATGCTAGTGGAACCTCTATAATATTGGATGTATTGTTAATCCATTTTTACTCTCTTCACCAACAACAGCATGAAATCAAAATTTTGATTGTGATTGGCAATTAAAACTTGTATCTAGGCTTTAGCGGTGTTTTCATCATGGTGTCTTAGCGACCCTACCACCCGGGAAAGGGTTATTTGATGCCTCGGATTCTGTGTGATAGTAGTCTGTTTAGAGGGGGTTAAGGATGACGCCAAGGAGAGAGGGGCCACACAGTGCACAAGCGACCACAATATGTTTTCCAACTCCAAGGGAGCTTGAGGAGCTAGGCTAGGCTAGGCCACCAGATTTTCATTGCATTGCACCCATTTGTTTGTTTTTGTCTTGTTGGCTCCCTGGACTGTTGGCAGGAATTTGGGTACGTCCATTGCCGGATCATGGGTGAGAAATCATTTTCAAAATGCCGACACATGGAGAAAATGTAGCGGACAAAGTTAATGCTTGTTGTTGGAACATTCTGACTTGCATGATCACATCCAAAAGGCAAACCTTCTTTCCTTGTGACAAGTTGCCCCAATTTTGGTGTTCCTCCTACCAAGCTAGGGATGCATCATATCATAGGTAATGAAAAATGTTTGCGTTATTTACTCTCGCCTTTCATATATATATATATATATATATATATATCAGATCATTGGATAGAAAATTAAGTATGAAAGACTTTCTGAATTATCTTGCGGGAGGATGTTCCAGATGTCGCCATATGGTGTACAGCTCGATTCCAATGGAACCATCGCTTTCTCCGCGTCAGATCCCCAGAAATCAGGGACCCCACTCATCAATTTTTGGCCCCCATTTGCCAGGAAAAGTAAGTTGGTTGCAACTCTTAAAACACGTCATGAAATGTGACAAAAAACAAACAAACAAACAAACTTACTTGTAACTTTACAAAATTCTTTTTTCTATAAATATACGATGATTTGGAATTTTGGATGTTCTATTCAATGACAAGCAAGCAAAAAAATTTTTTAAAAATGTAAAAAAGAGAGAGTGGTTGGGCAAAGTTAAGGTTACTCTGGAAAAGGAAACATACAAAACTCTAGGCCGCTCGAATTTGACCAATTACAATACATTAAACGATGTTTCAGCCAATAACAAGTGGCTCTAAGGTTTCTCTCGGTCGTGGTTCCTTCAAATTTGACTTTTAACAGGCAAATTTTGGCAGCCGCACACCTTATATAAATATGGATAGATACAAATATAAATCATCGAAAACTATAGTATAATAATATTGTCGTCAGTCCATATTAGGTCAACTTTGCGTGATATCAATCCCAATACCCAAGTGATTGGACCCTAATGACTAAACTAATACCACAAATCATCAACTTGATGGCTATGAAATCTCCGACTTGATATTAAAAAGATTGTTACTAGATGGCCACATGAAACTGAAGTTAAAGAATACGTACGTACCTCATTGACATTTACACTGCTTTCATCATATCTGATTTTACTACCTTCCCAGTTACGAGGAGTATCTATACAGTAAATTCTATAACAAAAAGTTTTTAAATTATTTTAAAAAAATTTTAAAAAAATTATTCTTTTGTTACTTTAAATCGAGTATTTGTATTATTATTTTGAATCAAATAAATTATTATAATTAATAATTAATTATATTGAATTAAAATATTATATGTTATTTTTATGTTATGTGACATATCTGCATATTTTAATAAACGATGATGTAATATGTTGTTACCTTTATCTTAAATCTATTTAATTAAAAAAATCTAAATATTATTAAAATCAAAATAAAACAGTAAAACACTATCCAAAATCAAACGCTAAAAATATAATATTATCAACTAAATACCTAAATCCGTTAAATACCTAATTAAATAATTCAAACAACAACTTAAAAAACTAAAAATCGTATGAAAAATGATGTTAGATTTATTAGTTTACAAAAAAAAAAGTTGGTTATATATAGAATCAAATTTAGGTTTAGGATATCTTAATAGTGATACTTGAAACATACCTGAGTTCGAGTCAAATATTAAAAAACTTCATTCAAATTTACCCATAAGAGAATATAAGATACCTAAACCTTAGGTGATTAGGTTAAATACTTGCAAATGCTTGCATAACACAAACTTGTTTACGTCTTTAGGCGACATCATTTAATATTACAATTATTAAAAAAATGACTTTGTTTAATTCCCCAGTGAAAGCTATGGAAAACTGTCTCCTATTTTTCAAATTATAATTAAATAAGAATATGCTTCTATTAAATGCCTACATTTTGCTGCATTAATTTTCAAATTTAACCCATATTCATTAGTTTTATATGGATTCAACTTCACTTCATTACTTTTTCAACTAACACTTTTCAAAATATTATTAATCATTGCTTTCATATGTAAAATTCACAATTAATAATTGAATTTTATACATATTGGGTGGTGATAATTGATGTAATAAAAAGAATTAATAAAGTAATAAATGAAAGTTTTATTATGAAATAAATCTTAAATGAATAATTATAAGAGAAATATAAGAGAAAATATTTAAAGGGAAATAAAGTATTTAGAGGAAGTAAGAAGATCTTACTCAAATATGTAGTTACAAATAAAATGAGAGACCTATTTATAGGCCAACAATCTCTTGAATCATAATCTTAATCTAATTTTATTTAAGAGTTCAAATCATATTACATTTCTTGTATCTTACTCATTAGGCTATTTGACTTGATCTGCACTTCTTAGGTCATAATATAATAGACATTCACTTATTTGTTCATAACTCTCTCCTTTGAATGTCTATTATATTAAGAATATGTCTTGTTAAAATCTTACGAGAAAAAAAATCTCATGAAAAAAAATCCAAGAAAAGGAAATGAAGTATATAATTCTTTTAAAGAATACGTTTTGAAATACTATCTCATTAAAAACCTTATTAAGAAAAATCCAATGGGAAAAAATTTGATGAAGGAAAAGAATACGGTGCATATTTTACTTCCCTGATGATTGCATTATAGAAATCTTTAAAATGATGCATTCTAATCTTTTATACAAACTTTTCAAATGTTGTAATAAGAAGGGCTTTGATGAACAAATCTACTAGATTGTCACTTGACTGAATTTGTTGAATAGTAATTTTACCCTTTTCTTCGAGATGATGAGTGAAGAAGATTTTGGCAAACTATGTGTTGTCTTATTGCCTTCAATGTATCCTTCCTCTAACTATGTCATGCAAGTAGTATTATTCTCAAATAACCCTGAATATTATTAAAAAGTGTAAGAAATTTAACCCCAAATGATAGCTTTATAATTTATTTACTTTTAGAGCAAGCGGCACATAAGTATTTCATTAGATTGAAAAATCTTTTGGTTTTTTAATGAATGATCATATTAATTTTGAATAATTTTTTACATCATTATTGATCCGAGAGAGTGAGTAATTTTTGTTCAACACGCATTTCCTACTTTAGATAATAAATGTAATATAGAGATATTAAGTATCTCTTTCATTTGTTGTCTCAATATGATATTTATTTAGATGAATATCTTTAAAACTTAATAAACTTCTTTTGGACTTAATAAAAAATAATGCATCCTCTATTATAAATTTTATTCCTCAAAGTAGTAAAATATTAGCCATTCTAGAGCCTTTAATTAATCTTATACTACCAGATATTGTATTGATATTAGTTTTTTTTTAGTTATTAAGTGAGAAAAATATTTTTTGTCTTTAAATATAGTGTATGTTATAGAAATGTCTACTAGATATATATTTACATCATAGATCTTGGATCCAGCAAGATGAATATCCATATTTTCATCAGTAAAATAAAATATATACAATAAAAAATTTACAAATTAACATGAAATAACATTAAATAGATAATTAAAACACATAATAAGAATATATCATTTAAATATAATGAAAACATATTAAAGTATCTTCATAATATAATTATACTAAAATATATAATTAATATTAAGTTCATTCTCGAATATTTTTCTTTTTTAGAAGAGGACAAATATTTTGTTGTGTTATATTAACCTGGTTATGATTAAAATCATTACAAGATGTTGTAATTTTGGGTGATGTTTAATAAAATTCAAGACATACAATAAGTACGTTAACAATGATAAATACGTTTTCTATATTCTTTTTATTCTTCCAATTTTTATCTTTTCATTATTCATCAATAAGTATTCATCCACTTCTGATGGGTTAATTAATTTTTGTAGGTTACAAGTATTTATCAAATTTTGATGGATTATCCACTTCTCGTGGGTTAGTAGGTTAAAGTGTCCATTACCTTCTAGTGGTAAAATTATCCATCACTTTCTAATGGTAAAATTATCCATCATCTTCTAATGGTAAAATTGCCAAAATTATCTATCCACTTCTGAATTTTGATGGTAAAATTATCCATCCACTTCTTGTGGCAAAATTGACAAAATTATCTATCTACTTCAAAATTTTGATGATAAAATTATCCATCCAATTCTGGTAGCAAAATTATCCTTAATTAAAATAGTAATAATGTAAATTATTATGACCATCATAATTATTAAATGGTATTGCATTCACTTCAATGAATGGACATATTTATAATTTTTTATTAGTAATTCATTTGTCGCATTCACTTCAGAAAATGAACATTCATAACTTTTCATTAATAGCTATATAATAGGAAATTCACTTTCTAATTAAGAGACAAAATATAATATATACAACATGATAGTAAAATTCATATTAAAGTTGATTTTTAAAGAATGAAAATACTAAAAAGATATCAAGTCACTTACTTAACTTTCTAAAACCAAAAATCAAAACCCAATTATTGAAAATGAAGAAAACATAATAATTCTAAAACTTGAAAAGTTAGAGAATCGTACTAATCTTGTGTTATAAAATAAATCTTAAAAGAACAACTATAAAAGAAATATAAGAAAAAGTATTTAGAGAGAATAAAAAAATTTTATTTAAAGTGAGAGACTTATTTATAAGCCAACAACCCCTTTAAATCATAATCTCAGTCTAATTCTATCTAAAAATTCAAATCCTATTATATTTTTTATATCTTGTCTACTGAGCTATTTGACTTGATCTGTACTTATCGAGTCATAATATAATAGGCATTCACATATTTATCTACAACCAGTTTAATTAATTTCCTTATTTTTTTTTCATATTAGTTCCTTATAAATGAATTGCAAGACTTATAAATGCGACATTGACTTGATATTTTAAATGCATATTGATAATAACTTTAGTTAAACCCAAAATCAAGTTAAATTTATAAACTAAGTAAATTCTAAATAAAGTCTAGTACATTTAATATGATATGAATCCATTAAAGGAAAATGTTTTGTGAAATTAAATGAAATAAATAATAAGAAACCACCAAAAGGGCTGATGAGCAATGCACCACTCGAGTCAGTCAAGAAATAAAAAAATTAAAAAATAAAAAGACAAAGCTTATATTCTCTAATAATTGCACCCCAAATCCATTCCACCACCAATTGGCAGCCGCCGCTGGAGACTTCAAGCCAAAGAGAAACTAACTCCCCACTCTCATTGGTTTTTTCTTCCTTCTTTCACCATGGACGACGAACCAGAGCAACCGCCGCTGTCAACTCTCTGCCGCCGCAACTCCATATCTAGCCCAGTCCAACTCCCCACGAAGCTAACTGTCCTAACCCCAAAACCTCTCCAAACCGCCAACAGCCTCCCCAACGGCAGCGCCTCCTCATCGCCGCTTGACCTCGACCTTATCTCCCTCAAAACCTCTTTAGCTTCCTACACTTCACTCAAAGACATCCTCCCTTCGTCAGCTGTCGCTATCAACTCCCCAACCGCCGCTGGATCCGCCACCAATTCCGGGTACGAAATCTCCATCCGTAACCGTTTAGTAAAACAGGCTGCTTGGGCTTATCTCCAGCCCATGTCGGCCTCTCCTGACTCCTCTGGGCCTCACTTTTTCCGTCGGATTTGGCTTCGGTTCTCTTCTCAAAACCCGATCTCCTACTGCCTTCGGTTCTTCCACCTCAAAGTCCTTCCGGGTCTGACCCGAGTCGTTGATCGCATCCTCCGATCCATTGGAATCCACTTCACTAGATAACTGATAAAGGGTGCGTTTTACACGCAGGACGAGGGATAGATTACACAAAATACTTTTAACTGTACGGACATTTATATAAACACATAATTTATATTACGAAGGTAAAAAAATGAATGAATTGAATGTTAGACTTGGTGTTTATAAACCAATTCTGTGTTCCTTTCCTTTCTTTTCTTTTCTTTTCTTTTTTTTTTTTTATGTTTGCAATTTTGGGGCTCTTTGTACAATTTTAGTTTGTTTGTTACAAATTATCAATTGTGTGGTTTGCTACGGCGGAGCTTAAAGCGAGCTTGTTGGTGCTTGGATTTCCTTGGAGAGTCCGGAATTGAGTCGTCGTCGCTCTGGTCGTATTCTGATTGGCTGTCAGGTTGGAAGTGGACGAGTTTTGACATGGGAGATTCTACAACGGCACGGTTGATTGTCGTCGGGGGCCAATTCTTGCTCTTCCCTGATTGACTAAAGAAACCACTTGGTGGATTTTGCTGATCAGATTTCTGCAAAAGGTTGGTGAAATAACATTGAAGAATTAGAAATTTTAGTGCTAATTGTTTCAAGTTGTGCCCATCTTGTACATTGAAATTATAGAATTAGTCACATATTTGATGAACCAGAGTTTGATTAACATTTTCCATGTGGTGTGTTAATGTTAAAGAAATGATGCTGCTGAGAAATGCTGGGTTGTTTATGTTATGTTAAACCTCTGCTGTCTAAACTTCAAGGTCGAATTAAAGAAAGGGTAGAAATTAGAACAACATGGAAGGAAGGTATACCTGATTGCCATGTTTTATCCTCGAAGATTGGCCAGACAAGTATTGAAGCATTTCGAAGAATTTTGTCTGCCCCAATTCTGTGCAGTTCTGCCAGTAGTATAAAGCAAAGTCCCATGCTCTAGCTCTCAGCTCCTGTATCTTTCTATCGACTTCCGTTTCATGCCTTACCATGAAAGGCCGCAACAAGGTGTCGTATACATAACCCGTTCCCTGCATGATCAGCAGCTTATTATCGTCAATTGAGCTCAAGGGATTGCAAAAAATATGAAATGTATTGCTGGTGCGTTTTGCTTTTACCTTGGTCTTAGGATACCATAGGTAGATTAAGAGTGCAAGCTTCAGCTCGTCATACATCGGCAACCTTCAAGAGAGTTTCTAATATTAGAATTCTAAGCAAATCAGATTGGAGATATAAAAGTTCAGATAGCTCTGTATACCATGAAATGAACAAGTCCCCTATCCTCTCAAAAACTGTCAGAAACGCCACAACGATCCTGCAAAATTTCATTGTCACCATAACTTTCAACTTAATAGAAAGCTAAACAAACGAAGCACAGGCCAGACTGAAATATTGGTTCAAGTGTGTTTTCGGATGGTAATAACAAAATTGATAAAGACAAATTACCCGTATCACTACTCAATATGAATGATGACCGACGAATTAAGTTCTAGTTCTACTATCAACTAATCCATAAACCCAAGTCATGGAATTCAGGCATTATCCTCCTGGCCAGTTAGAATATTGCTTTTCCATGTACATATTCTTCATAAAAAATTCTTCGGGGGTCTCTTCCTCAACGTCATATGCAATAATATAACCAGGAATAAGAAATGGTCTTTGCTCTAATGGTTCTTATCTTGCAACACATCGCGGACTCCTCATACAACCGTGGTTCAATCCAGGACAGCAACAATAAGCTGTAGTCCTCTCGGCCATTTTTGAGTTGGAAAAAGCCAAAATTACGATATTGGAATAATCAAAACTTAAGAAATATCATGTCATCCATATCACCTCAAATGATGTGTTCCTAAGAATCTGTGGAGCCTAACTGGATTTGACATGTTGTAGCAATCCAATGGGTTATTATTGATTTTTCGAATTAACTTAATTTGTATTTAATTTGGAAAGACTGGGTGCTAAGGTTGAATTAGTCAACCGTAGTAGGATCAATCAAGCAGAAAGAAACAAAATGTAAAGACTTTATATGGAATTGAATTGGCAAACTTGTCCAGGATGAGAAAAGTCTACGGCTACGTAGCAAAATGCAAGAAAATGTGAAAGGCAAAGACTTGATACCAATATTGACACCAAAATCTGAGTTCTTCTATCCCGACCTTGTTCTTCTCCACCGTTTTAAAGCACTCAATCGCTGGATATGCATATCCAAGAATCAACCTGAAAACACAAATCACCGGAAAATAGATAAGATCAAAACCCAGAAATCAAAGTAACCATTCTTTTAACAAGCAATGAACATTAAATGCAAAGTAATGATACATAAAACAACATGAAGAACCAAAAAAGAGGGAAAAAAAACAAATTGAAATGACTTACACAAGCACTCTGGTAATGAATTCACCCAACATTTTTTTTAAACAAAAAACTTTTAATTCTTATTTCTCCAATCTACCGTGCTAGTTTTCCTGCTGCCAAAAAAAGTAGTATTCCAAAAATAAAATCAAAACTCTCTTCATTAGATCATTCATTCATTGAACTATGCATAGTGCAGAATCCAAAAAATGAAAAAAAAAAAAAAAGGGCAACCCAAATTTCCAAACCTGTTTCCAAAACCAAAAAAAAAGATGGCAGGCTAAAATGAATTAACGAAGTAGCCTGATCTATTGCATCCAAAACGGAAACTTTAAAAGAAGCAAAAACCCTGCAAAAGGGAAAGAAGAAATGAATCAGCAAACAGAAGGAGTAGACAAAGTTAAACAGAAATCTACGAGAGGCACGTTTGTTAAGATTCTTTAGAACGAAATCTGGGGGTTAAGGAGTTAAAACCTTGGAAACGAAATAAAGGATCTCCGCGAGGAAAATGTGTTGCCGCGAGGCACAGAGAAAGAAAAGAGAAGACTCTTTTGTTTGTTGTAATTTTCTGGGCAGAAAACTTGAGATCAAAGGGAAAATGAGAGAAATGTTTGGTATTTATATGTGGATTTAATTTGGTTATATGGTATTGGGCAATGGGCAGCAGGCAGCAGGCAGTAGTTAATGATAAAGTGGTTATAATAATAATAATAAAAGAAGAAAGGGATTGGATTTAAAGGGCAAATGAAAAATCAAAGCTGGGAATTTCTTGGCAGAGACGCTTTCCTCCCTTCGTCACGATCTTGCACGCATTTCAGAGTCCAAGGATTCCTTGGGATGCTTCCAACGGGGATTACCGTTTGGCAGTTATAGTTTCCTCATCGGGGTATTATTGTCATCTCATAAACTTACAAAAAAATTTATCTGAGGAAGAAGTGCACTTTTGTTGAGGAATGGATCATTTCTAGCGGCAAGCAACTTTTACTTTACAATGATTGCAAGGCCTTTTAGAAAAGGATTATTTAGTTTATTATTATTACTATTATTATTATTTTAAATTTATTATTAATAATATTAATATTAAAATTAAAATTGAAGTTGATGTAGAATCTTGGTATTCTGGAAGGCAATTAGATTTTGTCAAAATAATTCTAGAAATTTGGGAAAAAAAAAACGTGAAGAATACTAGAATAGTATGAGAGATGCACTTATTGATTGCTAAGTGGTTTCTAAAATGTTCCAATTCCAATTGTTTTCTTACTCGTATCCGCAATCTGCTCATCTATTAAAAGGAAAGCGTGTCTTCTAATCTTGGTTTTTCTACTTACTTATGCACCCCTCTTGATGTATATATATATATATATATATGAAAACTTTACCATTTTCATCAATAGCAAATAGGAGCATGCGTGACAACATCATCTTCATTAAATGTATAATGTTTTATCCCAAATTTTAAGTTCTTCAACTTATCCAAAGTTTTTTTACATACTTTATTTTTATGACATGACATTTTCAATGATAAATTATAATTATAATATGTTTAAATGTAGAAGAATAAGTAAAATTAAGAGGGTAGACGTAGTCACCATATGTTATAAACTTTTAATACGATGCACCAAAAGGAAAAACCTTATAATATGAATATTGGTGACGCCAAGGATCACAACAGGTCAGAGACGACACAATAAATTGAATTCCTTTGCCTTTTTGCTTTGGCGTGTGGGACCTTTCATACTAATCCCTTAGTAATCTTCTAATGGCAAAGCGTATACCCAACATTTGTTGCTTCATCCTTTTCATCCACGTATCCCCGTGGCTTCTGCAATATATTTCTTCATAAAAATCATTTTATGACTTGGGAGATAATTCTTTTTATCTCTTAACTTAAAAGCGATTTTGCCGCAACCAAAAATATACATATCAAAATTTAGAAAAAAAAAAATTTATATAATCAAATTTTTTAATTATGACACTAGGTTTAGAAATGAAAATTATAAATATACTTTCATTCTAAACATTGATGGTGCTTCTAAATTGGCTACAAGTCGTGCTAGAGGCCTCATTCGTCAACATTGGAATTACAAATAACTTAGCTACTAAGTTATGAGGCATTAGAGAGGGTTTATTACTTGTCAAGAGTCGACAGATACAGCAGCTGGTGGTCGAATTGGATGCAACATTAATGGTGGTCAAATTTTTGAAAGAGGGTGTTAATCAAAATCATCCCTATATTACACTAATGCCTGACTGTCTCGTCTTGATAAAGGAAGGGTGGGTGAAGAAAATTCAGACATATATTTAGAAAGGTAATAGATGGGCTAATTTTTTTGCAAACTTGATGCAAAATTGCTCTTTTTCTATTTTTATCAAAATTGAAAGTCTTATCTTAAAATCTGAATATGAAAGTTTTATAATGTAAATTTTAAAAAGAAAGATGCTTTATTGGGGACTCAAATGGTTATATCTAAGAGAAAGAAATGTTTAGTTGAACCAAGAAAGTGGAAGGTTTGAAAATAATTTCTTTATATTGTTACTAAATGCATGCGCTTTAAAATTTATTTCTCATTCATTATTATATAATGATGATGAAAAAAAAAAAAAAAAGGTAAACAAAGCCCTTGATATACCTTCTAAGAAACTACAACCACAATTTCCATTGTAAGCAATTGACTAAATAAATGGCCTAGACTTTGTCAAAATCTCGGGAATTTTTTATATACATTTGCAAGTGCCGTGATCCTTCATGAACAGGCTTTCCTTTGGACCAAGTTCATGACTATTCCTTACTCTATTTTATTTTTAGTTAATATAATCCCTGCAGATGTAATTAATGATGTTAACAATTATTATAATATATCAAACTGAGTCGTTATGGTAGGTCAACTTTTGACCCAACCAATTTGCAACAATGAAAGGAATAAATATTAATAAATGGTCCATACTAGACAGATTACATGTGTCATATTTAAGATTGGAAGATTCAACATCTGCCAATTTTATATATGTAGTTTTGGTTGTAGTAGTTCAACTTGAATGCATGGACTCATCTGCTAGTTTTCTTAGCATTAATCCATATGTCAACCAAATCAATAATATTGGTAGACTATTAATTATTAAAGCATATTGGCTCATATTTTCTAGAATAATTAATCATTATTTGTTCAATATGTGAATGATATATGATCTGATGGAAATAACCAGTATAAAATTACAAGTCCTGATAAAATTTGTTGTTTTGAGAAAACAAATATACCAATATTAGTTCATAAAGGAAATTAACACCTTAAATAAAAGAAAAGGGAAATAAACCAATCAAAGCATTTAAAAATTCTGTGAATGCGGAATTGGAAGTCAAGTTTAAACTAAAACTATATATGTATCAAGAAATGGCAAAAGGTATCTTCCATGGAAACTCATTGGGTGGTTCAATGTGTTTGCTCCATTGTTATGTGTATTACTCTCTAGAGTTTTTGCATATTTAATTATATAGTTCTTTAATTTGGAAGAAAAGATTAGAACCCAACTCTTTAAGTAAAGGATTAATTATAATATAATCTTTGAACCAACCTTTGACAAATGCTAGATGTTTAGCAGTCTCAAGGTATTTTTATTTGTTTCATGAATGCATACTTGTGGGTTGGATACTGATATGGATAGAGAGGATGTTAGGAAATGTTTAATTCAAAATGTTCTTAAATATAATTGTTTTCAAGAAAGAGAATTAGTATTATTTAATGTTAACAGAGAATTAAAAATTGCTGTTTAAAAGCAAGATAACAGCTTTGGGCTACTTATTATTAACTTCTTAAATTTTTTATTCCCAAGTTTAGATTATTATAGTTTTGATTTTTGAACCAATTGACAATTAGACATAGTTATTGTCATATAAAGCAAAAAAAAAAAACAATTTATAAATGATTTTACAAAGAATATATGAATACACCATACTATAGATATACTAAAAATAACACAAAAACAAGTAAATTTGAAATGAAGGTGGGGTTTCTTCATATCTAGGTCCAAGTATTGAACTAGTAATTTTTTAAGCTTAAATCAAGTCGTTTTAAAATATTTAAACTTAATAGTAATTTACTTAAATTTTTATATAGGTCTTAATATCACATTCGTAACTTATATAAGATAAAATATCACAATCACATCCACTCTCACTCCATAGGATCAAAATCTTACCAATATAATGTGGACGTCTACATTGAATTGACATATACTCTGATACTTATTATAACAATTTTGACGCAAACACCATGATTTAGTAATTTTTTAAATTCAAACCACATGATTTTAAAAACTTAAATTTTTTTTAATCAAAAATAGAGTTCAAGTCTTAAACTTAAATAGCTGGTAGTGATTGATTTAGATTTTTATATAAATTTTAATAATCAGATTTATATCTAATGTGAGATGGGTATCACAATGTATATTTTTTTCTTTTTGTGGTTTATTTGATAATAATTTTTTTTTTTTATAAATTAGTAGTATAAAAGATTTTCATGTTTGATTCCCGATATTGGGCGGGCTTAATGAAATGCGAGAGGAGTCTCGAAAGAAGTCGTATAAGTTGTGAAATGGGGTTCTCACCTCTGTCCAACAGCTCATTTGAAATTGTGGTCCAAACAATTAAATTAAATTAAATTGGGCCAAAAATGAAAATGAGAGTTGAGGCAGGTTGGATTTTAATTGGATAAAGCAAAAGAGTATGGCTTTTCATTCTTTGTTATTAGAACTTAAATATTTTTGGTTGGGTCTTCTTGTATGCTAACCTCAGTTCTTGGTTGGATTAGCCTTGATAACAGATAGGATGGTTAATGATCTCAGAATATGGCATCTCGATGGGCCTTTGTCCTTTGGGTTAGCCTAACTTCTTTCGGCTTCTCATTTTACAAAATCTTGACATGATTTAATTATAACTAAAGTTCAATTTATTAAGAAAAAAAATTAAAATTATCCAATTAAAATAGACATAATATTCAAATAAAATTTTAAACTTTTTAAAAAAATTTAAATTTTTTTTTATATTTTTATTACATTCAATTAAATCTTTATATTTTTATTTTGAATGAAATAAACTCTTATTATTTTACTACGTTCAATCAAATTCTTATACTTTTATTTTAAATTAAATAAATTTTTATAATTAATAATTAATTAAATATTATTAATTAAAATATTTTTTATTATTTTATACTTGCATGATTCTGACATGGCATTGATGTTGAAGGTGAAAAACGTAATATGACCATGTCATAATGCCACATTAATATAATACGTCATCATCGATTATGATATATTAACATATTCTATTAGTATCATGTTAGTGTCATGTGGCAAAGAATGCTAAGTAGTATTTTGATTATGTCAATCATTAGTCATAAGAATTTATTTTAAAATAAAAATATAACAATTTATTTGACTCGAAATAAAAAAATAAAGATTTAATTAAACACAATAAAAGCGTTTGAGTATATTGAATTTTCTTGAATAGTTTAGAAACTTTTTTAGATATTATGTCATTAAAATATTTAAACTAATTTCTATTATTTATTATAAATTAGGAATTTGTGAGTGTGATAAATTATGTCAAGATTTTGTAATAACTCTCATAAATCTGATACAATTAAGTAGAAGAGATCAAAATTATTCTCTCTAGTAATTATTTTAAGTGGGAACGGTTTTACTCACCTTAACAAGTAATGAAAAGCAAAAATAGTAAGGGAGAGGGTGCTGAGTAATGAAATTGATAGATGTAGACAAATATATTTATAAAGTATTATAATAATTTAAACTAAACAAAATTTCTAATT